ACTCTTATCAGTGTGTAGTCTCTTTCGAGGGCTACTCCAAAAACTTGACCGCATTCGCAACATCCGGAGGATCTGCTGGAGGCCATATCGATTTTAGAATGTGGCTGTTTTGTGTTATGTACTTTTTCCTTTCGAAGTTGAAAGTTTTAATTTAAATAAAAAAAGTTTTTGATATTTGTTGTTACTAAAACTATGTTTATTGAATTCTATTTGCCATTCAACTCAACTATCATTTGTGTGCCTTCTGGGCTTTCCAATTGATTTTGTAAATAAAGATATATTAACCAGAAATATTATTGTGGTGTTTGTGTGGCTCCCTAACATAAATCAACACCGAAATTCCGCACAGGAATTTAGAGCTTCGTTTCATTCTGCAATGTATTACCAATTTATTTACTGCTATGATCACATTGATATTTTATTTATAATTGTTTTAAAGCAGTACATACCTTACAAACATATTAATTTAGTCGGCTATAGGGCGTGATCCTCTCTAGATCTACTAGACCAAATTGAAGCATTCATTTAAGCAAATTTAGTATAGAACAAACTTATGCGTCTTTACTATTCGAAAACTTTTCTAGGAGCCTAAACCATTTATCCTCCTACTATATCTTGGAATTGATATGTAGACTCGAGTTGCAAACTAAATTGGAAGAGACTTTGAAGTAGTTTCAGGTGAAAGCAGTGAATACAATTATAAAGATGAATTCAATGGATGTTCAATCAGTGATCCGACCCTAGTGCAAAACAAAAACACAATCGAAAATAAATCATATACATAAATTCATTTTTTAATAAGAATCTTCATCGAATTTCAAATATGCTCTGTGCAACTTATTGACAAACTCCTTATCGTTTTGGATAAGATAAGTGAAGGCCTGCACAAATCGAGATGAACTCAATGGCTGTACGGGCGGCTGCCTCGAGAATTCCGGATTCCCATTGGGTGCATCGAACATGGAAGGTGGCATAAGGGCTGGCTTTACTTCCGACTGGTCACCCACCAGCAAACGCCGAAGACAGTTGCCAGCGTCTTCGTTTGCCATCAATGGAGATCCGATTTTCAATTCACTGAGCAGTGGCAAGGGCTGAGCATTCAACGATGGCTTCTGAAACGGCGAGAGCCGGCTTTCGACAGGAGCCTCTCTATTCGACGACGGAATTAACCCTTCGCTAGGCGTAGCTGCACGCTGCTGCTTCTCCAATTGATCCACTGAGAGCGGCTGTACGCGATTGAACAGCGACTCCGCTGTAGCCTGCTTTGCCGACTCGAAGAACTTGAGTACATTCCCAGGGGTCACATTTTCCTGTTGCACTGGCTTGGAGTGGCTGTTGCACTGTGCGTTGTACTCCTTCTGGGCTTTGCTCAGCATATTAAATATGCTTGCATTGTCGTGTTTGGGGATCACAAACGTAGGGGCCGGATTAGTATTCGGCACCTGGCCATTGGATTCCTTGTTCTGCAGCAAGCTGTTCACTACACTGTTCATGCGGTCACACTCGTCGCTGTTGTAGAACCAAAATCCGCGGATGCGTGAGCGCTCGTTGCGGTAGAGGAGGAAGGGGGGCTGCGACTGTAGTTCCAGGCTCCCAGTGATTGGCTCCACAAATGAAGTTGTATTTAGACGATTGTTGATGAAAATGCTGTGAAATGGCTTGGCGTTGCGGTGATATATGAAAAAAGCGCCCTCGACGTCAGTTTTCTCCCATTCATTTTGTTCCGAGTTGAAGGTGTAGAATGCGACGTGCGACGACGAGTCGACGATTTCCTTGGCGTAGGGGTCTATCTTCTTAATAGCCGACAGGTTCATTCGAGTAATGCTTTCGTCCGCCATATTCTTGCTGTGGTAATTATCAATTTTAACTTTTTTTAGTTACAACAAGCCCTTACGTATATATATTTTCTTTCAAAATATCGATAGGAATAATCGATATTATAGTTGCACGAATATTTAGTCCGATATTAATGTAAAATCAAGACTATTTTATTTTTTTTATTTTTTAGAATTCTCATAGATGTATTTGTTTTTAGGATGTTAAATTCAAACTTTCCTATTCAAATTATTTAATATCGTTCCGTAAAATGCATACTAGGGCTGCGAAACCTGCAAGGCATCGACATTGGGGAATATAAAACGCTTAACCCATTGTCACTAGTGGTTATTTCAATTGAAGAACGAACATTATAAGACCAACCATTCAGGTGAATAAATAGGGGGAATATCTTTTTGCAAGTAAAGAGGAAGTATTTACAAGAAGACTTGAAAGAATTTACAAATTTTCACTGTTTAAATAAATGGTGGCTCAAGGGATAAGTTACTGCACACAATTTATCGATAAATCCGGGAAAAGCGGGAAAAGACAACAAAGAATATCTGCACAAAATTGCATTTGTTTAAACATTAGATCAATATGCAACAGTCGTCCATAACGTAAATACAGTTCACTTGTATTAATTCGAACTATATATGGCTAATACTTGTTTTGTTTTTCCCCAAACAGTTCCTTTTTTAAGCAAAAATCCGATGTGCCGGGCAGCCCAGCCAAAACAGTTGCTAAGTAAGACCAAAACAATGCATTTTATTTAACAAGATGCAACTAATTCAATCGTTTCTCACAATTGTTTGAGTAGAATTAAGAAGGAGAGTGATTTGCCTGAAAAAAAACCAAAAATCAAGTGCGAAGATGAGACAGCTGAAGTCAAGACGGAACCACAGCGTGTTGATCCAAATCCAACCAAAAGTGAACCTATGGAAACGGATATTAAGGAGGAGCCGGCAGCGGACAGCAAAGTTGAGCGGAAAGTGACAACAATCGGATTGAACACCACATCTAAAGATAGCAAAGACGATGTGGAAAACTACGACCCTTCGAACGAATCCTATCATCCACTGAAAAACGCATACTGGGCTGCCAAAGCGGTGTAAGTAAGTCGAATTCTGAGTCGGAGCTATTATTTAATAGGATAACCCTTGCAGGACACCGTATTTGGCGTTAGCTAGGACGTTTCAAGTCATAGAGGAGACCAAAGGCCGCCTCAAGATGATTGATACGTTGAGCAACTTTTTCTGCTCGGTTATGCTGGTTAGCCCAAGTGACCTGGTGCCCAGTGTGTATCTTAGTATTAATCAGCTGGCCCCCGCCTACGAGGGGCTGGAACTTGGTGTGGCGGAGACCACGCTAATGAAGGCAATCTGCAAAGCCACGGGACGCAACTTGGCACACATCAAATCTCAAACCCACTTAACCGGCGACCTGGGCATTGTCGCCGAGCAATCGCGTGTCTCTCAACGCATGATGTTTCAGCCGGCACCACTGAACATCAGAGGTGTGTTCAACAAGCTGAGGGAAATAGCCAAGATATCTGGACAGACCAAGATGACGCTAGTCTATGATGTCTTTGTGGCCTGTCGGTCCTCCGAAGCACGCTTCTTCATACGCTCCCTGATCGGCAAGTTGCGCATTGGCATCGCAGAGCAAAGTCTGCTCACCGCTCTTGCCACTGCTTTGGTTAAGAAAAATCACATTAACGACTGCAAGCCCAGCAAAATAGTCGACGTTTACAAAGATGAAATAGCCGAGACCACCTTGTTGCTGAAGACCGCTTATAGGTATAAATGATAACTCGTTTCACAATCTGCACATATTAACTTGCATATTTTCCAGCCAATGTCCCAACTACGATATTATCATTCCTGCTATATTGAAGTATGACATCAAGGAGCTCCAAGAACGCTGTCCCATGCACCCAGGCATGCCGCTGAGGCCCATGCTCGCCCAACCAACAAAAGGAGTCCACGAGGTGTTTGAGCGTTTCGGTAGCATGCACATAACGTGTGAGTGGAAGTATGACGGGGAACGAGCGCAGATTCATTGCAACGAGCAGGGAGAGATAAGCATATTCTCGCGCAACTCGGAGAACAATACGGCAAAGTATCCGGACTTGATTGCCAGGAGCAAGGGTTTCCTCAAAGGGCCAGTGCAGTCTTATATCATTGATAGCGAGATCGTTGCCTGGGATGTGGAGCGAAAGCAGATTTTGCCCTTCCAAGTACTGAGTACGCGCAAGAGAAAAAACGTGGATATAGAAGAGATCAAGGTTCAAGTCTGCGTTTACATATTCGATCTTCTGTATATTAATGGCAAGACGCTGGTCACAAGTCCATTGGCCGAGCGGCGCAAGCTGCTGTTGGAGCACTTCCAGGAGGTTGAAGGTGAATGGAAATTCGCCACAGCTTTGGACACCAACGACATGGATGAAGTGCAACAATTTTTAGAGGAATCAGTCAAAGGTCAGTCGAGCAGCAGTGTAGCCAGTTTCACTAATTAAATCGTTTATGTTCTTGCAGGCAATTGTGAGGGTCTCATGGTCAAGACTCTAGATGAGGAGGCAACGTATGAAATTGCCAAAAGATCGAGGAATTGGCTAAAGTTGAAAAAGGATTACTTGTCAAATGTGGGCGACTCGCTGGATCTTGTGGTAATTGGCGGCTACAAAGGAAAGGGGCGACGCACCGGCACGTATGGTGGATTTCTCCTTGCCTGTTATGACACCGAAAACGAGGAATACCAAAGCATCTGTAAAATTGGAACAGGTAAAGCCCTAATTTCACATTTATGGACCTCGCTCACTAAGTTCTCTTCTTTTCAGGATTCACTGATGAAGATTTGCGAATACACTCGGAATTCCTGGGCAAGCACGTTATACCCAGTGCCAAGTCGTACTTTAGATATGACTCAAGCTTGGAACCGGATCACTGGTTTGAGCCGGCTCAGGTGTGGGAAGTAAAGTGCGCCGATCTCTCCCTTAGCCCCATCCATAGGGCAGCAATAGGCATCGTGGACACTGAGCGAGGCATTTCGCTGCGATTCCCCCGATTCATTCGAATTCGGGATGACAAGAGCTGCGAGAACGCAACAGATGCCCATCAAGTAGCCAACATGTACCAGTCGCAGGATCAAGTTAAGAATAATCAGAAAACGTGTACACAAATGGATATGGAGAGCGAGTTCTACTGACGTTATTGCGCCATCCCATGAGTGAATGTTCATTTATTTCAAAATATACATATTTTCCTTATTTCACGACGGCCAAGAGGTTTTGGTTTGCACTGCAACTATTCTCTGAAGACTTGGATACACCCTCGCTGGGCTTTGACTTATTGCGTCGACCTGGCCTCTTGTTTCTCCTTGCCGATGACTTCTCCTCGACTATAGAAACCTCTCCATCCGAAAGTGGCTCATCGCGCTGTTTTGCGGCGTCTTTGTTGCCGTCTCCCGATCCCTTACGGGTGCGAACCTTCGGCTGATATATCGCAATGGAAGGACGATCCTGCAAGCAAATACAATGATAATTTCTCTTTTATTCTTAAATACATGCTGAGGTATTACCTTATTTCGAATGCGACGCTCCTCGGATGATCTAAAGCTGGACTTTCGGGTATCATCGAAACTTTTTGACCTGGATGGAGCTGCTTGCTTAACCGTGGTAGCTGCCGAATTGTCGTTCTCCGATTGATCGCTGACAACTTGTGCACTTTTCTTGGCGGTAGCTGGAGGGTTGCTTTCTTCCTTCTTTTCCGGTGCCTGCGTTGGATCATCTACAATCGATTTCTTGGATCCCGTTGGCTCACATTTCTTTACATCAGATTTGTTTTCTTTTTTCAAAATGGCAATGTCCCTTTCTGTCTTGTTGAAATCTTTCAACTGTTTCGTTTTCTTGCCATTTTTATAGCTCGATGGCTTTTCCTTGTCGGTGTTTTCTTGGCGTTCAGGAATCTTTAAGTCTCTCTGGTCTCGGTCTCGGTCGAGCTTTCGCTGCTCATGCTCTTCGCGCCGACGCTGGTCACGCTCCATCCGCCGCTTTGACCGCGAGTTCTTGTTTCCCTCATTTGTCTGATTTTGTGATTGATTATCTTTACCGCCGGCCTTGGGCTTGGTGCCTGTATCTTTTTTAGCATCGGCGCTGGCCTCTTTCGGTTTACTGATTTCCATCTGTTCCATCAATCTGACTTGCTTTTGCTCCTCGCGTTGTTTCTTTTTCTCCTCATTCCGTTTTCGGGCTTCTTCCCGCCGCTTTTCCTTTTTGTTAGCTAGGTATTGAAGCAGCGGCGTGGACCTCACCCTGTCGTCAGATTTTCGGTCGAACGTCAGGTCGATCTTGACCTCACCCATGCGGGTTGCCTCCTCTCGTTCATCGGCCAGCTTTTGCAGAAAAGCCTGGTAGTGTGGCTCGGACTCTATTGTGTTCACCTTGTCATCAGTGCGCGACTTGTTCTTCAGGAAGCACTGGAATGGAGCATACTCCACCATGGCATGGTATTCCACGCCGTATTGATCCACGAACACGTATCCATCAAATCGATCTCGAAACTGCAGCAGTTCGGTGTTATCCTTTAGGGTCATGTCGATGTAGGCTCGGCATGTCGCGTCATGACCCAGGGACCAATCCGCTTGGCAAAAATAGTAGGAGTCGCTTTCCGGCAGCGGCCCTACTTGATCTAAGAATTCCTGTTCCGTCATTGTTGGCGGCAAATGTCGAATCACTATTTTGACGGTCGGATTGGCCTTCTCCTTTCTGTCTTTCCTCTTGTTTCCTCGCGACCTCTCTGGCTTACTTTCAGGATTACTGGTCTTCTGCTTTTCATCTTTTATTTCTGACATGTTTCTCTAAAAATCAAAACAATGATTGCTATGTTACTCGCACGTGTGAATGGCAAGTGACAGCACGAAAAGGAACCAGCAGAGATGCCACGACTCGTTCAGTACTACCTGTTGGATAATAGTTCATTAAAACCAAGCAATGCCACTCTTATGACGACTCGTTCCAGAACTAGTTCTCATGTTCATGCCTTTATAGGGATTTCTGAAGTGGTTCGCTCTTTGATTAACATTTTGTTTACAAACGATGGACCTGCACAACAATGCATAGTACTTAAATAAATTGTTTTTAAAATTAGCTTAGATTAGGACAACTGTAAATGTGCAAACGTCCTTAATGTGCTGTCTTTTTGCGTGTACAACCGAGCACGTGTTTTGCAAGCCAGGCGATTGCAGAGGACTCTGGAAACGAGTGGCCAGGGAGAACGACATTGTCATTGAACGATCGTATAATATCGCCGAGAATCCTTATCGCGGGATATTGCCATTGGGTAATCATTGTGCCGAAGATGCTGAAACGATAGTATACACTAACAACTACCTGGAGGTGATGTTCGCGCAACCCAAATACTGAGATATTATTATCCATTAGATTGGACTGGACTGGACTCTTTTAAAGAGCTTTTCTTATAAATAAGCTAAGCAATAAGGGGTTTCAAAATTGAACTTTTTATGTTATATTAAATATTTATTTTAAAGAACCCAAACCTGTTAGATTCCAAAAAAATTGTATCTTGTTATGTTTGAATATATTAAACATCATTAAACTGTTGAAATGTTTCCTTTTAGTGATTCACGCATTCACCATTATAGTCCCATTTTAGCAATAATTTGAACCAATTTTTGTAAATTACATTTTTGGTAATTTATTACAGAAGTATAATTTGATACCTATTTGATAGCCTATAAATGTATTAAGTATAAATGCTTAGCGTAGCAACGTGGCCTTTAACTTATTTTATAAAGAATTAGGAATCAAAGCTTCATTTTTCGTACTGTACTCGCGGCCGTACTTCGCGTTTAACTGGAGATTAAAGAGTTTTTTGGAGACCTATATATGGTCTAGGTCTTAGAGGTCTTTTTCGATATAACAACAATTAGATCAATGAGCCAATAAAATGACTGATGCAGGTCTCCTTCGCACAGATATGGTGCTTTCGTCCAGGACTCTACATTGAAACCACAGTTTTCCAACAGCTCCATAAACTTGGTGGCCTCTTCCTCGAAAGAAGCCTGGCGTCCGTTGTTGCTGCTTTCTAGTAAAGGACGAATTGGCAAATGCGAAGTATTGGTCTCAACATAATGCATATATGGAAGCACTAGGGCTATGACAGCTCGACCCCCAGGAGCGAGTGTACTGCGAATGTCCTCCAAAAGTTTGAATGGGTCAAAACATCTATCTAGTACGTTCAGGCATAGTATCAGCTCCATGTTTTGCAAGCCTCCGATCTCGGTAATCACATTAAAATTAAGTTTCTTCAGTCTATCTCGCATTGTCCAACTAGCTTCAGTCGCAAAAACTCTAAGGTCGGCATTTCCACTTAGTTCGGCCACAGTGTTTGCCACTCGTAATGATATTTCGCCGTCGCCGGCACCGATATCCAACAGCGTAACCTGAAATGGGATGCTCGTTAAGTTTTGTTTGCTCGACAACATAAAGGTGCGACTTGTACCGGCTCCGATGATGCGGAAAAGCCCCCTGCTACAAGCAACTTATTGAATTGATCTTCTGACAGAATAAACATTGAGCCACGCTTTAGAAAACCATTGATATCCGTTTGAGTCATGAAAAACTGCAGAATTGAACGGGCTAGCGCGTGCCATAAATGCATCCATATGTTGGCCGACAGTAATTTGGTGCGTTCCAGCCAGTGTACTGTGGTGGTGTCCGGTTGCTCGAGGGGCACAAATTTCGACTGAAACCTCGGAGGTAGTGAGTGCGCCAATGAGTACCACTAGAGTGTGGAAGCAATAAACATTAGGGAGGTTCATACATAAGAATCATAAAACTCAGTCCACAACATACCCTTCGAGTGTCTATGTTGTCCAAGGAGTTGTCATTGTGGAATTTAGCATGAATGACTCGGGCTAGTGTACCTCGAGGACGATAAATGGCCATCTTAAAACCCTATTTACATGTTCTTGTCTACTTAAATTTGGGTTTTGTCTTGTTTTTTTCGTATATTTATCTTATCACAATTACTTCTTTTATCGATAACATATACCGCCTATGCTAAATACCTACTCATTTTAAAAATATACCGATGTGTGTCCATTATCTGAAACTATATTCAGCGATTTTGCTATTCTGTTCAACATTACTAGCAAACTTAAACTCTCTGCCCTGAAACTACTATTGAATACGATTAATGAATACATTTTTCACTTGAATGGCTAGTTTTCAGAACTTTTTTTTTGGGATTTTTACAAAATAAGGTTCAAACTAAAAAGATACAAACTACAAATTCCGACCATGAACAAAAAGTAACACTTAACCCATAGAAGACCACTTGGGTACCCACGAAAATGATGAAACTCGAAGAATTTTCGGTCAGTTCAAGTGAAGTAAAAGGTATGGTGATCATTTTTGTTGAATAAAAAGGTCTACATGGAAGCTGTACAAAAATTAATATTTTCCGCGACTTTATTCAAGTGGTTCACCTGTTTTGATGGACGTCTTTCAATGGGGTGTTAAATGGGTTAAGGTGAACCTATTCAGTTCACAAATGTATACAAAATAAAAAAAGCGGCGAATTTATGTTTTCTTTTACATAAAGCGCAAGGAATTAATTAAATAAATGAATACAAGTGTGGTAGCAAACGTTGAAGAGAAGCCTGTGGTGGGCGATGAACTTCCTTACTCGCCCGAACAGTTCCCGGGAAAGGTGTGCTGTTTATGCAATCTCGGTGAAAGAAGTGCCTTGGGCCAGGGGGCGATTCTGCAACTAAAGGCTCCAGCGGACATTAAAGATGAATATCCACCTGATCGGCTCACAGAAGATGGGAGTCGGCCGTATTATGGCTCCAAACAGGAGGCCACTGGCGCGGCCGAGAGCAACTATGAGTTGGACAAAATTGGCCAAGCGGAGATAGTGCATCCTTCACAGTTCCTCGATGAGGGCTTCGTTTATGTGCACCGAATGTGTGCTATGTGGTCATTGCGCAAAACAAAGATGACCGATTTGGATGCTGCCTACTTTGTGAACAATATTGGCGGATTCTTAGAACAGAAATGCAACTTCTGCGGCCGATATGGAGCCTCCATCAATTGCAAGATGATTTGCCGCCAAGTTCATCACTGGCCGTGTGCCGCTGCCGCCGGATGTCTGCTGATATTGGAGAGCTTTACAGTATTTTGCACAGAGCATTTGAGCCAAGTGCCTTTGATATGTAAGACTTATACAACTCTTATACATCCATTGACTTGTTAACTATAAATTTGTCCCATTTGTTGCGTTTGCAGGTAGTGACAATAACGTTGAGTGTCTATCCTGTTCTTCGCTGGGGGATCTATCGAAGCTGATTATGTGTAGCACTTGTGGAGACCATTTCCATTCCACCTGCATTGGTTTAGCCAATATGCCAGGTAATGGTCTTCCCGATTCTGTTCCGATTTCGCAGTTAACTTCATCATTCTTTGCAGATACCCGTTCTGGATGGAACTGCGCTCGCTGTACCAAGTGCCAAATTTGTCGACAGCAAGATTCAAATGATTTGAAATACGTCAAGTGTGAGCAGTGTCAAAAGATCTATCACGCCTCTTGCTTTAGGCCCGTAATCTCAGCAATTCCAAAATATGGATGGAAATGCAATGTAAGTAGGAAGTTCGGCAGATCTTCATACTACATATTTACGTTTCATCTAATATTTCAGCGCTGTCGCGTCTGCACAGACTGTGGATCTAGGACTCCAGGTGGTGGTAGCTCCTCTCGATGGCATAGCCACTACACCATATGCGACTCTTGTTATCAACAGCGAAATAAAGGATTTTCCTGCCCGATTTGCCAGAAGGCATACAGGGCAGCATCCCACAAGGAAATGGTTAAATGTAGCTGGTGCCACAAGTATGTTAAAGCATTTATTTAGGCCCTCCCTACATTTATTAATGCATTCATTTCCAGATTTGTACACAGTACATGTGACGAGGAAGCAGACCTTACGGCCTATCACAAGAAGAAGGAACAGAATCCGGACTATGATTATGTCTGTCCGAACTGCAAGTTGAATTCTTCTGGTCCTGCCCAGCCTCATCAGTTGATTGACTCTATCGTGTTGACTGCCATGGACTCGTCCGCTGATCAGCTGAGCGTAAAGGACTTGGATCTTGTTGATCCCTTGGAGGGCAAACCCATTGCGGATGTGTCCACTGAGGATGTGCAGAAGATGCCGCCCACTGGTAAAAAGAAAATGTGCCTGACAAACGTACGCGGAAAGAGTGGAAAATTCGTACTTCAGCGCATGGGCGTGCTCTCGCAGATAAACAAAAAACGCAGCACTCGTGGCAAGGGACGGACGATTGTGCTGCCAAATCTTTCAAGCGATCGGTATGTTAATCGTAACGTAGATGCGGACCTAACCAGCGACAAGAAGATGGTGCTGTGCTCCACCCGAGATAAGTATACGCTGAATCAGGATATTTGCGTCATGTGCGGCTCACTGGGCATTGAAAGTGACGCGGTAATGATCACCTGCGCCCAGTGCGGTCAATGCTATCATTCGTATTGTGCCAGTGTCAAGCCCTCCAAGGGAATTCTACAAAAGGGTTGGCGCTGCCTAGACTGCACGGTATGCGAGGGATGTGGCAAGAAAAACGACGAAGCGCGGCTGCTGCTCTGCGATGAATGTGACATTTCGTACCACATTTACTGTGTCAATCCCCCGCTGGAGACTGTGCCCTCTGGCAACTGGAAATGCTCCTTCTGTACGCTGTGCCAAAAGTGCGGCCTAAACCCCACGGAAAAGAGTGATTATGGCGACTCCAACATGCCCGAGTGCCCGCCTTGTACCAGTCAGTCCGCTTGCTCAGTGTGTCGTAGTTCTTATAGCACCGGGGAAATGATAATTCAATGTGAAAACTGCGATCTGTGGTCGCACTTCTTGTGCGACTCCATAAACGCTCAGCTCAACATGGAGCACTATGACAAGAATGTCTACAAGTGCCTAAAGTGTCGTTGCTCTGGAAAGATGCCGCAGTCACTGACCGACGGGAAACCCGGCAGCTCCACCCAGACACAGTCCAATAAAGCATCGGCCCAACAAGGCAGTGGAGGAGATGGAAAGAATGCCAGTGGCTCGGATCAAAGCCAAATGACTTTGCCGAGCGATCTAATCGAGACCACTCCAGAGGCAATACATTGGATTGACGGTGTGTGCCTGAGTGAGAATGGATTAACCATGATTAAGTCCCTGTCCACTGAGATCAAGCGGAAGCGGAAAATGCGACAAACAATTGGCAATGGCAAAGACGCGCTGGCTGATGCTGCGGCAGCTGAGGAGGTTCAAAGCGAGAAGTACAAAGACGGCATGGTCTGGGATGGCACAGAGAATCCCATACCCGAGGGCTTCACCATTACTACAAACGACGAGGGCGTGCATATTTTGCGCAAGAAACGGCAGCGAAACTTGCAGAAGCTGGGCATTGGTGGGTTCTCGGTGCGCAATCGAGCTCTCAAAAAGGACAATGAGGATACGCCAGCGGCCGATCAGCTGAATGCCATTATGGTTATGGACAAAAAGAAGAAAATTATACGCAAGAAGCAGAAAAATAAGCTCATCGAAGCGTATCCACCGTACTTGCAAGAGGCCTTCTTCGGCAAGCCGCTATTGGAACCGGGCGAGCTGGTGCTTGGCGAATCAGACTCCTCCGATGAAATAGATGCCTCAATGAAAATGTATTTTACGCATGTCGAGGGCAAGAGCCCTGATCAGGATGCTGCACTGGCCACCAAGAGTCCCGCCAAGTCGCTGAAGAAGGTGAAAGCTGAGAAGAATCAGCCTGAAAATAAAACTTCTTTGACAGAGCAAATATCAATTGGATCCGGACTACAGCCGAAAACAGCGAATGGATTGACCGCAAACGTTTTTGGTAAATACAAAAATTACAGGTGTTATTTCAGTTTAAATAAATAAATAAATTAAATAATGTTCCACTTGCAGACCCCTCACAATCTGAACTATCGAATACTGTGCTGGCCAACAGGAATCCTTTGGATTCTTTGGCCTCGCCAAACATTTCAGAGCTGGACGGCATGAATACGTCTGTGAACTCGGTGACATCATCGGAAAATACGGAAAAGTCAATGCGGTAAGTGGATAATTCAGATTTCAAATTATGGTGATGTTAAATCTCTTCTATTTCCTTTCATTTTTACAGCGAATCACCTGTTGTCTTGGTCGACAACTACGTAGTGCCTCAACAAATTGTGCCCGAACAGAAGTTCCACAATCAGATATATTTGCCAGGGAATGTTGTTACTAATCCCCCACAGCAGCTGCACTATCACCCGCAGCCGAATAATGCGAATAAGCAGAAAATGCAAAGCATGATGGGTCAAGTGTGTTTGAAGCCCGAAAAGAGAGTCGAGGAAGAGCCCAAGCCAGTGGAGCCCGTCACGGAAAGTTTGAATGCGGGCACACAAAAGACCGCTGAGAAAATGCGCAAGGACGAGGGTAAACCTAATCATTGTACACCTTATTTGTTTATATCTATAGCATCGTATTTCATGTTGTAGATCTTGGTCTAATGGCAACCATTTCGGCTGTACTGTATGCCAATACTGAGCATCCGAATCTCAAGGATTTGTTTCCGAACTGGAATGATCGCTGTAAGCAGATTCTAAAGAGATGGCGCTCCTTGTGCAACGAAAAGAAGGCTCCGTTCTTGCAAAAAGCCAAGGATAATCGCTCGGCCTTGAGGCAGAGACGCGAGCAGAACAAGATCCCTCTGCCTGCAAAGCCCCAGAAGCAAGAAGAAATTGGACGACAATGGAAGCATCAAACTAAATTGAAGGAGGAGCAACCCAATATGTTTGTCAATTATAGTAAGTCCAGTAATCGAAAGTACAACACAAATAATACAACTGAATCTCCTTTCTGCTCTCAGATGGCAATCAATACGACTCGTCGTGCTATGTGGGTGGCCCACAGCCGGCCGCAATTAATCCACATCTTGCGTCCCCAAGTTTAAATGAAACTCTCGTAGTCAAGGCGCCGATGCAAAGAGCAATTGTTCATGCATCAGCAGCAGCAGCAACATCAAGCACTGTGAAAATGTCCATAGTAGACAATCGATTGGAGTTGAATTCAGTTTATGGAACCGAGCCAATTGGCGACAAAAAGCTAAGGAATCTATTGCAGAAAAATAGCACAGAACCCATGCTAATGGGATCGAACTCTGAACTATTTCTACAAAATGATGTGCTGCGGATGGGTATGATGTCTAATACGCCGCTAACACAGAACAATCCCATGATGAGTGTGAGTGGAAAAGCACCGCCAACGGATGGCAGAAGCCTGGAGCAAGATGTAAAGATGAACGAGGCACAGGAGGGAGCAGCTTCTGCTGTCGAGCTGGAAAATGTTGGATTCGGTGACCTTTTGGGAGGGCTGGGTGAAGGTGACGATGACGACTTACTGAAGTCGCTAACCTCTGAAATTGGCGATGACTTTAACATTCTTGAGTATGCGGACCCCGAACTAGACGTCAACGTACTGAACACCTTAGACTTTGACGACAATGAAAAATGTTCTACATAGGTGAATATTAATGTGTATAAATATGAGAATGAGAGTAGCCGACACAAATTGAGACGCAAGATATAAAAGATATATTGTTGGTGGTAATGTTACTTATATATCATGTTTTTCTGCAAATTTTTAAATAAAACCGCTTACAAAATAAACCAAAACACATTTCAGTTCAGTTTGTGGTTCTGTAGTGTGTGCTCGAGTCAGCTGGAACTAAAAAACCGGAATCGGAACTGGAACTGGTCATTGATCTCTCACAAATACTTATGCGAGCAAGAGATTCGTACTAATATTACGTTGATGTTTTCTGTTTAATTTTGCTATGAAAAATAGTTGATAATGCTGACACATAATCGATTTCTAAGTTTAAAAGTATTTATTTTACTACTACTAGTTTATAAGACTCATTCTAAGCTGAACCTTAAATATGGAATTTTGAGGCGAGCTCCAAATCTTGCTGCTAGAAATGAAACCATCTGTGCGTAGCATCATCGGCATTCAATGAAAGTTATTTTCTAAAAATCAGAGTACTTTCTATTTAAGCTTTCCGTCCACGAACCAAATATGATGTACAAAAAACAATGCGTCTTATGTTCTATAAGTAAGTGTCTAATTCAGCAGACATGCAACAAATAATTATACATATTTTTGTATTAAAGAAACAACACAAAAACCTTAGAGGCATCCGCTTTCGACGAAGACTATTTGCAAAGAGGTTCTGGCTGCTCCCCCTCGGATAAATTTGCTATTGTGCTGCATGGCTGGATCCAAAGTTGTGCTGATGAGTGGTCGCTGGCGCTCATCGATCGTAAGCAGATAGTAATCAATCAAAAACCTTGCTGTATCACATATCAATTTTCAGGGTTGAGCTATTATCGTGGAGGCTGCGTGATATGTATTGATTACAGTTTAATTGCAAGCACATCGTATATGCGGTAGGTGTGAACTCTCTGGTAAAACCTTATGCTACATCTACATCCTTTCCCCACACAGATTGTATACAAATTTCGAAAACATTACTGGTGCCATTGTCACCATCATTCTGACTCTCATTAAAAATGGATTCGATGTGAAACGTGGCTACATGTTTGGATTTAGCTTTGGCGGACAACTTGTTTCGGCTGTGGGCCGCTCACTAGCACCACAACATATGATCCAAAGCATAGATAGTAAATTTATTGTGATGCATTTCCTTTCACAGCATCGACTGATAAATTCATCTTTCATTTGTTAGCGTGCGACATGGCAGGGCCCGGATTTGATCCGATTGCAGTGGATCACTCGAAAGCTGGCAAGCATGTGCAATGTTTCCATTCGAGCCGTGATAAAGGAACCTTTGTGTACTCTTGCCACAGAAATATAATGCTGGGTAGCTGTGGCCTGGCGCAACCATCAGTAGCCAGTCAACTGCATCTTGGGAGCCATGGACTGTGCGTTGACATCTACATTAATGCTTTTGACTATCCATTTTATGCGCTGAACACGACGCCATCCGAGTGCATAGCCTTCCAAAAGGTAGCCAAAATACCAGCAGACTATACGGTCGGATATGAAGAGAACTTTGACAAGTAAGTTTGAGTGAATTCTTCTTGCAAATTTACTCACATGTCTCGTTTCTATTTCCAGTCGAGTTACTGGGCAAATCTTTGTCCCCACTAGTCTACATTATCCCTACAACTTATCAAAAAAGGAGCTCAAGTTTTTGGCTGGAAAAAAGTAGTTCTGCTCGTTTAGTAGTTCACTTTCGTTTAGTTTAATTCACCAAAAATATATTTCAAATTAAATTTGAATTATGTATTTACATAATATCGGTAAACACTATTCCTGTTGATGAAACACCGCCATATTTGTTGTGGATGTAACTAAAACTACTGGTTGGGACAGTCATTGGGGGACTGTTTCTTGTTACCAGCATGCTTGTTGTGCCCCTTGGCTGGGGGAGCGGCATCATCGTCATCCTCCTCTTCTTCGTTTTCATCAAACTCCTCTTCGTCATCATCGTCCTCATCATCGACAATGTCACCAGTAAAGTAAAGCACCGCCTTTGGAATAATTCTGGCACGCAAAAAGTGACCAATTTCAAAATCGGTTGCTAAGATCTGCAAAGGAATCGCAAAAAAATTTATTAAATTCAGTTTAGAGTTGAACATAAGATCTGCTTACCTGCTGAGATTCATCATCAATTTCTTCCTTATCGGATGGAACCTCTGGTGGGTTGAAGAAATTGAAGAAGGAATCGGTTGGAACCTGCTTGACAATGGTGCGCACAGCGCCACGCTCCTTGTGCTTCTGCTTCTTCCTGATTGTCTTGACCGTTAGGTTCATTTTCTTCTCCCAGGTGATGTTGCATCCCTTTAAATTAAATTGATTAAATTAATTGTGCTGTCAGATAATGCCAAGATCAGCTTAACATACCGAGCACTTGTAAATTTCTGGTCCCTCGAAGGCGAACGGATCATCTGGGTCAACAGTGGACTTCAGAACATACTGCTTTGTAAGGACTGTGTTCGAAAAGTATTCATTCTTGTCGAAATGAAACTCCAATGTGTACGAGTGCTGCAGAAAAAGAGTTCAAAAGTTAACAATGCCCGAACAAAGGAAGGAAAGCGTAGATCTCTACATACCCCGTCATCGTATTTTATGGATATATCAGTTAGTTTGCGCATAGCTGGCTCATCGTGGGGCTGGACCATTTCCGAGAGAATAGCAGTATTACGGAAAACAGTAAGCCAAAATCCGGGAATGCCCTTTGCATCTTGAGGAATACTTTTGATAGCCTTCAGTGATTCGCTGAAGTGTTCTTCGGTCTCAGACTCTGTTTCTGGGTTCTCGGGCTCCGTCCAATTGGGCTTCTCCACATCGGGCTCCACTGTCCCGATGACAATATCCTTGCGCTTATCAAACATAGGCTGGTACTTGAGCTGATATTTCTGCTCTAGCTTGTAGACCTCCTCAAAGAATTCGGCCTCGATCTTCAGATGCTCCAACTGCAGATTCTTCAGCACTACAATTCTGTTTTGAATTGCAACTGGCATGGCTTTAACCATTTCTTGCAAATACTGGCGCCGCAAAACCGAATTCATGTAAGCCGGCCTGCAATTTCAAAACTTCAGACGTTTGCCTGCAGGCCTCAAGTGCGCATTACTTACATGGACTGGCAGTCGGAATTGACAGACTTCTCGTCATCGACCTCGTTACAGGACTCTGTCTCTACGTGTCCCTCTGGTGGAGCGTCCATTTTTGATAAATGCGGAATTCTTTAACAAACCAAATAGTATATTTAATAACTTTTCACCATTTGTATTTTCTTATTTAACACTTATTTAAGATGCCCAAGCATACACGCCCTACCACACACACATGTGCATCAACATGAGCATTGACGAAATTCGTTGCGAGTAAAGGAATCAAAAGATGAGTGCACATGTCAAAAGATACATGTCTTCACAGCTTGTTACATGCATATATATGCATAAGAACATACACACACAATACCTAAACATATAATACACATTTTTTCAGATAGATTTGATTAAAAGTAATACGCCATACCGATCGCCCTTACACAAATATGTGTGTGTCGGTATGTGCAAGCATACATATTCAATCCCCTCGCGTTATTAGAAAACACGTGTTAGCGCAAATTCACGACCCAGGCGACCATCATATAATTCGTTCATGTTTCTTAGACAATCTTAAATCTAATTTAATTGTGCGAGTTAAGCTTACCACGCGCATAATTTCTCAATTAAATACATTTTAAATAAACACTAATAACATAAGAAATCGACCTTACCTTCAATTAGAACAAAATTCGCACAAAAAAATTCGACAGGCCCCGCAAACGACGCCGATGGAAAGAAATAGTGGTGGGAAATGTTCGATATATATACGGCCAGACCCTCAAAAATATACCATCTCATTTTAATAGTATACCGTAATCTTATTCGTCATAATCATATTACTCGATGTTGATGTTCTATTTGATATTACTAGCTTTAAAAGACTTTTAATACTGAAAAAATAATTTAATCCGATTGAAAAATCAATTTGGCTTATTATAAATACTCCTTTTTCTTTGATTGGATACCTTATGTCTATATATTTTACAAATTTGTACTTGAATATTTCATTTGTGGTCAAGGGATATTTTTTCGCTAGCTCAATCGATACTATCAGGGGTTTCCACTATCTGTGTTTGGCAAGCTCTGGAAAGAAAGTGTGACCGAAGAAATATGCCGGCTGACCATCAAAAATATACCGTACACAAATACATGTCTTGATATATCTGAATATACATATATTAGGTGGTGATAGTTTTTGAAATTGGCGAAGGGAATATTTGTGTGGGATAATCATCACATGATATTAATATGTTGCTACTTTTAGATGTATCACTTTGTTAAATGAAGAAAAGCTGCGATTTTTGACTCTCATCGATACTAGGGGATCGGTACGAAAAACGCGCGAAATCCAAAGAAAACCCAATCAACAGCTTTGTATCGAGACGATATGTATCCATGCTGCAAAAATATAGGCTCTCAGCTAACTAAGGCTAGCCAACTTATTTTCCAAACAACCAAATCGACTAAAATTATAAACTAGATCTCACTCACACTGCTTTCGTTTTAAATTATTGGTTTACAACTTCTATCCCGCCTTTAGCCTGAGGTGTAGTGGATACGGCCAAAAATAAATATTAAAATACTGGAATACCTAGCATGATGGTATTTTTTCCAACAGCTGATGTGTCTAATGATGATTGATATTCATCCAAATATCTGCCTAAATGCTTGTCATCAACTCCTACATCATAAACAAATGTAAAATGTATGTATACATACATGTATACATGTAAGTAAATATGAATGTAAAAATGCTCAAAACGCCGCAAACCCGCACATACATACATACATGTTTACAAACAGCAGTATTAAAGTTGTCTCTTTTTATCATAAAATTAAGCTCTAGATCTAATGTATTAGCATATGTTGGTAGCTACGTTTAAATATGAATGCCCATATTTATATACGTATGCATGTACATATTCTGTGTGTGTACATATGTAAGTATGTTAGCCACTTTTAACTGCTTTATAAATTTGGACAAGAAACCGTACATTTGTGCGTTCACAAAAGCTGAATAAAAATTATCAAAAATGGTATCATTGGAATTAGGGTGCTAATTTCCAAAATACAATCGGTACCATGCGTTCCTATGCGTTACATTTGATGTCAATTAAACTTTTCATTAATACAACAGCATTTCCCCCAACTCGCGATTCCAAATTATATACAGTAGAAAATCATTTTGTATTACTCATGCGCCTTTAATATGATAGTTTTATTTTATTCGTACAATTGAAAAGTTCACTAAACAATAAGGAGGAAAGGAGGAGAGGAGTAACAATAATAAATAAATAACAAGAAACGAAGCTAAAAGCCAAAGCAGAGTGCCGTCGATCCCCGATTACCAGGCGCCTTTTCAAGTAAATGGAAATAAGAATTTTGCTACGCGTAAACATTACATTTTTCCCGTATTATAATCGCATGAAATGTCTGTGCATATGTACATACATACGTTTGTACATACAATTGTTTGTTTTGGCCATTGTGAGATTTGTTTTAATTGTGCGACTGTTCCAATAAGCACTGTATCTGTTCCCCTACGATTTGATTGTTGTTAGATAATATGTACGTACGTACGTACATGCAGACCCGTATGTACATATGTCTGTACATATTATCCGAGGCATATTTTTACGTGCGGATACACATGTTCCTGCTGAAATGCACTCTTGCATGTATGTACATTCGTACGTACATACATATGTATGTATGTGTATGAAGATTCTATTGAACGATAATCTATTTAATGGTTTTGTATGCAAATATACAAAGTGTATACATACAAATCTACTTTTATGAATTGAGAACCGTTGCGCACACATTTACACACGCATAGTGAATAGCAGCTAGCCGAAATCACGGAGGAGAAATGATCATGATAAGCTTGGATGCAGATTTTGTGTGCACGCTTGTCCACACATCTGTATGTGTGAATGTACATAAGCGTGTGTGGGAATGATAATATGTAGATACATTTTTGTAGATATGCAAACAGTCGGTTTGTGTATCTGCATTACAGATAAATCACATGCATTTTAATGACAGCGAAAAATGAATTTTGGAATTTCTTTCTGCCCATGTTTCAGAATGTCACTGACTTGTGCCATGAAATAGGAAAACTCTTCTTGTAGACGAACAAATAAATGTGTTTTAAATTGCAGAACCAATTAATGTTTATTCTTTTCCATGAAATTTGGTCCCCGGGGGACATTAACCAAAGCAGTTATTATGCAAACGATTATGTAAGAGCTATTACCCCAAAAACCTTTCTACTAATGAGATTCCAGATGATTCCAAAATGAATAAAATCCCTCCCACTCGCACTATCATGTGACATCAGTAAGTTATAAAATTTGTGAAGTGATATAACAAAAACATGACTTAGGCGTGGCGTGACCCACTTGGGTTTCTAATGATAAGTCGATCCTAGTGACTAAGAAACTGCAGACCTGCATAGAGGTAGAAAGTTAGTTATTGACATTATTTTCTTCTTTTTCAGAGTGCCTTTGATTAACAAATATGCCAGATAGATTTCAAGTCACAAAAGCAGATGAAGACACGGTATTGGATTATCATCAAGATGAATCAGCAAGTGGAAAGCTTTTGGGAGATAGCCACGATGAAACACTAGGTGAGAATTCACATTACGTAAGTTATGGCGACATCAATTAAAATTTTGATGATCAGTTTTTGT